TTTATGAATCATATTAATGTATAAAATTTATTTTAAATTAATTTTGACTTTTTAAGTTAAAATACAAATTTGGTTCCTTAGCTTTAAGGTATATATCAAAATTGTCTCTCAATTTTAAAAAGGTTAAATGTCAATTTTGGTCTCTCAACTTTTTTTGTATTTTTTTAATCATTCCGTTATTATTAATCTATTAAGTCTAAATTTTTAGTTCCTCAACTTCTAATATAGGTATATTTTTAGTTCTTCAACTTTCAAGTAATTTTAATTAATTAAATGATTGATGATTCTCTCTCCCCTCCATTGTTTTGCGTTGCAAATTTCTCCCCAAATCAACTGATTTCTACCCTGTAGACAAATCCAAACAAAACCAACCAAACTCTCATCTATAAACCTTACACTTTTCTTTGTAAAAAATTTTCAAATCTAATATTCTTCCAAAATCGCATAGACAAAACTAGGAGAAATTGAATGGGTTCCTTGCAAACCTAGTCATAGCTAAGGAAGGGGGAAGAGAGAGAGGGAAGAACAGAAATAGTGACAAAGAGAGAGGAACGATGGATGAAATGATGGCTAGAAATGATGGTGGTGATGAGGAGAATAGAGAGAGAAAGGGCAGAGAAAAATGATGGCAAGAAAAATAAATTTCAAGTGCACAAAGTATTATATGGATAAACATCGCAACATACTATTGGAATTACACGAAATAGAGACATAAGTTTCAATTGTTCTTCTATTTAATATTAGGGAAAGAAACAGCCTAAATGGTTCTCACTAAAGTTCAAGGGCAACAATTTGTACAATCTTTTTATCAAAAACTTGGAAAAATGTTAAGCATGTTTTGGGAAATAATTTAAGTTCATCAACATTAATAATAGAGGAATTTTAAAATTAATGTCTCACTTACCGTTCATATATACAAGCTAGTTCATACTATTCTTCTCCCAAATACACACAAAGCACGAATGATTGGCCAACCCAAAAGCCTGTTATTCCTCTATTTTTTCTACAAAATTAGCATAAACACAATATGCAAAAATAGAGATAAAGGTTGGAGGCTTACCAAAATCAATAGCTCAATGCCGAAGAAGAATGAAGAAGAATAAATAAGAAGGAATTGTTGGATTGTTACAAGTGAGAAAAAGAGACATAGATTTAAGCTTTGTACTTAACAAAGAAATAGAAAATAAAATATAGGTCTAAGACTTATCAAACAATTGATGAAAAACTCGATGGAGTGACATCGGCTATGGTGATAATTGGCAAGACGAGGAGAAATGGGAGGTGATCATCGATCATGATTAGGAAGGAGAATGGGGCAAGAAAGAGATTTTGTTTGAAGTCTTAAAAAAATTTAATCCAATCCCACCATACCCCATGAGGTTGGTGGGATAATTTTTATCTTTTGAGATTAGGACTGGACAAAACATAGGATATGTTTTATTATATCTATTAACACCACCAAACATGGGTTACTATTGGTTCGGATTAATTTTTGTCCCATCCCGTTAATAATCCAACGTACCAAACGGGCGGTTAGGTCTTTGGGTTTTTAGGTCTCTGATTAACCGAGCTACAAGGATAAATTCAGGCAAAAACCCAACACAGAAACAAAGTCAATCACCACAATTCACCCAAAAATATTGAATAAAGTGAAATTCCCATAAGTAATATCACCAAGAAAGACCACCTTGTTTAACAACCCGAAATGGTGAAAACAACCTTTTGAGTTCATTTTCTGAGGTGTAGAAGGACAGCTTTACATAAACAAAAACAATTTTTAAGTAGTTTAACATACAAAACATTTAACAATGCATCGAGGTAAAGAGAGAAAGCTGGTATTTACTACTAACAAAGAGCTCCGAACAGAGCTTCTTCGCCATTCCGAAGCTAAAATTCAACCGGCACAGATGATTAACACAAAAAATATTCAATAATATATTAAATAAACTTAATAATCCCTGCCAACGACCATTGAGATATTAAGAATAAGAATTACTTCTAAAAAAAGAAATTAAAATAGTTAAAGAAAATATGAAATCCAAATACAGTTAAAGAACTAGAGCTCCGGCACCTCTCTCTGCGTCGGCGACGGCGTTGGTGAGGACGGGCGGGGCCATGAGGGGCTGTTTAGGCCGAGAGAAAGTTAGAAATGAAGAGAAACGAA